GAATAGCATCCCACAGCCTCTAGCCAGGAGTCTTCAAACCCTTCGGCCTTCTTGTGCTTGTCTGTTTCCCTTCTGCCAGCAGCCCAAATCCCATCCCACCTCTTTGCCTTTGGAGGTTTTCCACAACCCTCCCTCTTCCTGGGTCAAGCTGCTTTTAAGGCTCTCACCAGCCATTCTTCATCCTTCTGTGCCAGCCTACATGGCCCTGCGGCTTACTTTAGCCATTCCGCCCCTCTCAGCCAGCCGCAACGGACAGGACCCACAAGCCCGAAGTTTTTGCGTCCCACGTGAGAAGGAATTGGGAGGGAGGTTGGGAGATCTGGCGGGGACGCCACTGTGAGCAGCCGGTGGCAGGGCTTGTCCCCTTCTGGGCATTTGCACGCCAGCTGGAAACCGTCGTTTGCATCCTGCCTCCTGGCTGGGGCTTGGGGTACAAGCCCTCCTAGAAGGAGGGAGGACAAGCCACTCAAGGGCCTGATCGTCAGCCGCCGGAACCCATCCGCCATGCCGTTGCCCTGGCTTCCTGCAGGGAGTTCATCCTGTTGCCGCTCTGTGTATTAAAGGGACCTCCCACCCAAGGGAGGTCCTCAGTGCCGAAGCGGAGCTGCTGCAGCGGTCCGGCAGGGCACAGCACGGCATGCCTGCAGATGGCCAGCGCGCCGATCCTGGCCGTGAGCGTCACCATCCACATGGTCTGTGCCGCCGTGATCTGCTGGTGGGAGGCTTGGAGGCCTCCACTTGGAAGACAGGGGCTGGCTCTCAGTGGTCCTCAGGCAAGTGTTCCCGCATCGTCCCAGAGGAGCCGTGGGTGTTGGCCAAGGCGGCCCGTGAGTAGGGGCCAGCGTCCAAGGGCCGACACCATGCGGACCCAGCAGGCCAACCATCCAGGCGGCAGACCTCCTGGTCGAGCGGTGCTGCCTGTTCCTTCTGGACGTGCCCCTGCTGACTCCACGCTCACTGGGTTCAGTTGGGGCGCTGAAAAAGGAAGAGGACTTCCTTCCCTAGCGCATCCCTTCGGGTTTCCTGGAGGTGGAGCGTGCCATGGAGGGGCCCTCCACTTCCGCTTGGCTGTCTGAAGGTGCATGGGGCGAAAAGGAGAGTCCTCCAAGCGAGGGGCGCGAAAGGCAGGGCCCGTGACCTGGTTGTGCTGCTGCTCCTCTTGAGCCCGAGGGAAGTCCCCATCTGGGGGACTCGCTCCAGGAGCCTTCCGCCTCCTGTCTTCAGCCGCCTTGCCCGCTGCTCGCGGGGCTGCTTTGTGACGGCCTGGCGGTGAGGGCAGGCCTCCATGCCACGGTCCCGGCAGGAGTGCCCGCCTGTCGCAGGGAGTCTGCTGCTGCAGCTCGAGCACTTCCCAAATGGAGGCATCAAAACCACTATGGCAGGTGGGGAGGCATGGAGGTGGGCAGAGGAGGGGGCGTTCCGGAAGGGTGCGACAAGGGCAGAGAGGGGAAGATGCGTATTTTTGTAGAACAAACATGAACACTGCTACTCCCAGAAATCTCTGATGAGGTCAGTCCTGGGAATCTGAGCGATACCTGGCAACCATCTTTCCTCCTGCCTCCTTCTTAGTGAATTGCATGTCCCTTTTCAGACAATCTGTGTGTGCCCCCGCCCCGTTTTCTCTTGCTTGCTGCAGTGCATTTTTTAATAGCTCCCTTCCCTGCCTATGTTGTCCTGTAAAAGGTGGAAAAAACAAGGCTTTGCCTTCAGGCTGAGGCTCCTCTCCATTGTCAGGGCCTGACCGTGAGGGGCTGTGAGCAAATCAGACGCCAGCTCTTCAGCGCAATCACTCTCCCAGCACCTCCTTAGACAGTCTCAGCCACAAAGCAAATCTGAACAGAGCCAAATCAGGAAGAAAAGAAAGGCTGTTTAACACAGCTAGTAAAGCACTTCAAATCATGTAGGTTTCCTTTTTTAAAGGTCTGTGTGAAAAGGCTCCCAATGCGTGCGAGGGAATAGATTTTGTCATTGTTCATAATTGAAAAACTAATTAAATAATAGATTGCCCTTCACTATGAACATTTGTTTAAAACTGGAAAAATTAAACCAAAAACTGAACGAACAAGAAAAGCATGAGCGTGCTTCGACAACGTCTCCGATCGTTGCGCCTTTTACTCCCAACAACTCCAAATGCAAAGCCATTTTGGAAAAAACTGAAGTGGTTTTTTAACAACAGAAATTACACGAAAATGGATCTTTAAAAGGGGGGAAATGATGAAAGCTGCTTAAGTTTTGGTTTTACTTCAACCGGAGATGAAGACAAGCCAAATGGAATACAGGCTGAATGCAAAAAGTTGTAGGAATAGTAGTTGAAATCCCATATAATTAAGAAGCCACGTGCAGAGGAGCTACCCACACCTGAGAGTTAAAAACATGGACTATTTTAAAGGTAAATAAGAGGAACTCAAAAACCAGAACACTATTTTTCAAAATTTATGTTCAAAGGTAACGAAAAATAACTTGAAGATTTCTACCTTATTACTTACAGCATTACTAAAGAAGGGGAGGAAATTCACTTGGCAAAAAATTAATAAAACCTTGCACCAAAAATCTAATGCATGTAAGTTTGGTGAGCAATCTGCCAAGAATTCAATAGCAAACCATTCTCTGATGGAACAGTTGCTACACACATTAGTGATATGGCCGTGTTTTGTGGGAATGAATTCATGTCTTGTTTAAGAGCTTCTCTCCGTGGTTTCACAAAGCAGTTAGATGCATCCCTGGACATTACTCGCTTGGCTATTTTAATTCGCCTGGTAAGCTATATTTTTACATTAACTGTCCACGGGGATATTCTTATGTTCAGGCCTCTTAAGGAAAGAGCTACTGGTGAAAACATTGTTGAGGTTTATATATATGTGGAGTAACACAGACTACTTTAGGATTTATGTTTTCACATTTGTGCCAATGGAGCAAAATCTCTACTGGGTGCAAAAAAGGAGTCATATCAAGAATAAAAACAATAGCCCCACCTACTTAACACTGTCAGGATTGTCTGCATTGTCATGCTCTCATTCTGAAATGAGTTCTAGAAAACAATCAAAGGTGTTTTAGACAATGTTGTGAAAATCACTAGTTTTATCAAATCAAGGCAGATAAATTCAAGATTATTTTCATTACTCTCTGAGGAGCTACCTGGTTCTCATGAAATATTCCTCCTATACACAGAGGTATATTGACTATCCTGAGGAAAAATCTTACATACGTTTTATAAGCTGAAAGAAGAGGTAACATTTTTTAACTCAACCAAAACATGATTATTGTTCAAAATTATGTGACAATATATGGATTCAAATTATGGCATGCCTCACAGATATATATTCATTTTTAAATGAAGTAAATTTATTCCTCTAAGGAACTAAAATTCATATATTTAAAGTTAATGATAAAATACATGACTTAATTTTAAAATTTGATTTATGGATTTCATATATATGAAAAAAGATGTAAACTGTTTTGAGAAATTAAGTGACTTCTTGTTACAAAATGATCTGACTCTTTATAAAATTGGTCAAGAATGCATAACAGAACATTTGTTGTATCTACAAAATCTAACACAAAATATTTTCCAGTGCAAAGAATCATACAACTGGATTAAAAATCCATTTAATCTTTTTCACAGTGGGCATTTATCCATGCAAGAGAGAAAACAGTTAATTGATATTCAAATTAAATTCAATTTAAAATTAGGTACCAACGAGAAGGGCTTCTTGATTTTTGGTTACAGATTTACAATGAATATCCTGAATTGGATGATTGTGCGATAAAGATTCTTAGGCCTTTTGTCACAGCTTATATATGCAGAAACCTTTTCCCATGTACAGAGCAATGAAAACAAAATATGGGAACGAAATGGATGCAAAACCAGACATGTGCTTGCAACTGTCCTCATTAACACCAAGTATGGATTTCCTTTGTGACAAAAACAAGTATGTGCAGGTCATTAAATGAAGTATATTTTTTCATATTATTTGTTAACTATATTATACTAATATTTAGTGTGTGTTTGGTCAATTTAGTATTATTTATGTACTAAGTAATACATTGGTTCATTAATGCATTTATAAATTGTCTCAGCTTACACTGGACAAAATGTATTATTGCAACATTAACTGTAACGTTCTGTTAAAATAAAAATTATTACATGAGACACTTCTATTCATGGGTTCCGTACTGATTTTTCCCATTGAGAAGGGTTCCTTGAGTATTTCAGATCTGAAGACCACTGAGTTAGAGCAAGAACCTTTGGTTCTCGATCACTTCATTCCCCATGCAGCTTCAACACCTGCAAACGGCCGGGGACACCCCACTAGTTCAGCCAGACGGTGACGAAGTTTAATGCAGTACGACTGGCCAGCACTGTTGTCCGAAACATCTTATTGCAGTTGTGTCGCCTGTACCATCTATTCTCTTTTGCCTGCCGGGGCTCATAGAAAGTTACTCAAGCCGTGCTTGTGCTTCCTAGTTTTTCTTTCTTAAATCAAGCTCCAGCTCAACGTATTGGAAGGGTTCTTCACCGCCACGGGCCCCCTTTGGCCTTTGCATCAAACTGCTGTGCCTGCAACCAGAGGGAGGACCTCGAGGAAAGGAGCACAGGCATGACCACATGACGGCTCCTGGGCACCGGAGGCCCAGCTCTGGTCAGGCCTCCTGCCACAGAAGCAGGTGCCAGGTGTAGTGGGAAAGGAGAGAAAGGGGCGGGTTGCTCCTCTCAGATGTTATGCTCCCAGAAATGATCAGCCAGGTTTAGCACCCAGGTGGATTCTATGCTTTCTCCCAGCCTTGTTACCTAGCTCAGCAGAAAGTAAATCTGTGAATTCCACCCATTCCCTAACACTCTTCAGGCCCACTAAAGGCCACAGAAATGGGCAGAAAGCACAGAATTTGATCAAGTGTTGAGGAGCCATTGAATGCCCCAGTCTTGCCGGGATAGTCAACACCAAAACCCTCAACCAGCCAGAACTTGACAGCTGTGGAAGAAGCAGGCGCTTCCGACTCACCTTTCTTAGTGGCTTCAAAGCTATCGTGGAAGTGTATCCTCTGGATATCATAGGTTAAGGTCGTGTTGGGTAACAAGGTTCTATTCCTATTGATGATATTGGCAGAGAATCGGAAGGCTTGCTCCTCAGCATTCATTATCTGGGCATTCGGGCCATCAGCATATTCAAAGATTCCCCCTGTAGGAAAAGAGCAGGCTGTCACCACCACCAGGCCAAAAACGCTCAACCCAAACCTCAGATCATGCCATCCACACCGCTTCCTATGCTTGCATTACGAGAGCAAGGTCAGAGTTTGATGGATTAAATGTGGGACGAGAGAATGCACGCCCAGCCATTCCAGCACGTGCAGCTGATCTGTGCCACAGCGATGTGGCCCTCCACGTTAGGGATCAACAAATCCATTACGTCCAGACGTTGGATTGCCACAGAAACTCATCCTGTCCCAGTTCTGTATTGATTTGCAAGCTTCATTAAAACAAAAATCTTCAGCATGAAAATATACACGCTTTTGAATATTGTTTTTGAAAAGGTATCCATTTTAAAAATATGTAGTTCAACATCCAGGAAAGCACCGATTTCAGAGTGCCACAAGCCGCTCTTGCCAAACAGCAGCTCTCCGGTTCTGGCTGTAGTACCACAATGAGTTGCGTTTCCTGGGTTCAGATGGCACAAGAAACCATCCCGGTTGCAAGAAACCACAGAACAGACCATTGATTCTGTTTGGGGTTTCTCAGTAGCAGCTTTCTAGCAATGCAACAGTGGAACCAGCTGCCCGGAGAGGTGCTGGACTCTCCCACACCAGAGACATTCAGAAAGAAACTGGGCAGCCACCTGAGTGGCATGGTGCAACTTCGGCACCAGGCAAAGACCTCTTTATTCAAACGTTATTTTAATTGTTAATTTTATTTATTTATTTATTTATTTTTGTCCAGGTCGACTCAAATTATATTGTTTTTATATTGTGTTTATTTATTTATTATTGTGAGCCGCCCCGAGGCTTCAGCGAATGGGGCGGCATAGAAGCTTCTTAAATAAATAAATAATAATAAAAACATACTTGGTGTCCTGCAACAGCAGGGGGCTGGACCCAATGGCCTTCATGCCCCTTTCCCACTCAACTATTCTATGATTCTAATACCAAATATAACATGCTGAAATGATCACAATAGGATTCATAGAACACACCAGACCCATCGCGGTAACACAGCACCATGGCTTGCCATGGCGCGTGACCAGCCCAATGCGCCAAGTGCCAACTTTCCACCTCGCTTGACATTTCAGGAGAAGGCCCAGCTTCGCCTCCTTTTCTGCTTTGCTGGAGTAGCTAAACCAACCATCCTCCTTCAAGCTGTGTGTAGTCTCATCCCTAGAATCTGTTGCAGCAGAGCAGGGAGAGCCGGCAGGATAAATGGGCAGTAATGGATTTGATTGGTCAGTTACCTCAGCCAATACCCGTCCGAAACCTGGACCGTCTTCCTGCATCAGAGGCATGGAGACACAGCAGTGCCTGTCGCAGCAGTCCAGTTCCACAGAAGGATCATCACAGTGAAGGATGGGAGAGCTGCTCAGTCCTCCCTGTGAATCTGCATCCCTTCCACCAACCACAAACAGCGCTGCCTTTTCTGTACCCCACATCACACCCCATTCCCCTCTGCCTCCTTAGCTCTCCTGCCTCCTCAAAAACTGAAGAGTAGTTCCCACCCCAGTGCAGCATCCCTTGGACATTCAAATACTTCCAAACATGCAAACATCTCTTCACGTCTTTCACTCTGGCTTAAGAAAATATCTGCTGGATTGGACAAAAGGTCAGTCTCACATAGCATCTGGGAGCCACCCAGACAGGATAACAGGGAAGCAAAAGCCATTCCCAGAGACAGGCTGCCTCTGAGTGTGGAGGTTCCTTTCAGTTCTTCCTGGCTCAGTCTAGAGTTGGTCTTACCCTCCCTTGCCTTTCCTGACTGGGGAGAGGGGCTGCATATGTTGGCAGGAGGCTGGCAGTTCATAGACACAGAGTGAGTCAGAAGGGGCCTCCCGGGCCATCTAGTCTGACCCCCAGCTCCAACCGGCTCCACTCACGACATGCCCACCATGTGCATGTCCAGCCTATCCTTGAACACCCTCACCAGTGGGGCCTCACCCACCTCCCATGGAAGCCCATTCCACACCCCAGGGGTCCTAACTGTCAGGAAGTTCAGATTTGGCCCAGAGGCCAAAGGTTCTCCATCCATGACCTAGTGGGCTTCCTCTGTCCACACTTTCAGACAACTTCAGGAGGCTTGTCAGGCAGGACATCCCTTTGCAAAAGTTGTGCTGATTCCTGGTTGGCTACTCTTGCTCTTCTCTGTGCTGGAACAATTCTGCATTTAACTATGATTTCCCCCAAATTAATACTACTTTCTACCAGCGGAAGCAAACTGGCCTGTGACTTCCCATCTCCTGCATCCATTTCTTAAAAAGAAAATCACTGCTAGGCTAGATGTTTCGCATTCCTCCAAGAGGGAAGGTGATTTAGTGATAAGGCACGTGTTTGCGCTCACAGGTGAGCAATTCCGCACCTGAGTTCGGGGCCATGGGACGGGTGCTGTCTGCTTGCCTTCGCTTGCTATTTCTTGCTTTGTTACTAAAGCCACTAGTCTCTTTTCACCTCCTTAAGATGCCACCCTCCTTCCCCCAAAAAGTTTGGTCATCAACATCTTGTACAGTGAAGGGAGATGTACAGAAACCATGTTGCTTCTCTGAAAGCTCCCCACGCTCATTTGGTGTTGCTCTTGGCATGTGAAAGCTGATGATCCGCCTTGATTTCTTCTGGCCCCTTTCAGCTGTTTTAAGCCACCTTCAGTCCTAAGGACGCGCGTCCTCAAGTGCGGTTTTCCACTAGCCTTGCTGGCATCCCCCCCCCCCCCCCCTTCCCCAGGAGCCACGCTTGCCATCCTCTGGGGCTTAAGCTTTCTCGGCTGTGCTCCTCCAGCACACGGCTGGAGTCGTGGGGGCTGCGTGCTCTCACTGAGCTCCTGCCCTTGTAACATCCAAGAATCCTGGGCTGACTTGCCCATCTTGACTTCATTACCCAACTTCTGTCTAACAAACCCCTTTATTATTGCATGCTTGTTTATTTTTCAGAAGTTGATCTTTTCCTTTTAAAACTGGATGTGTCCGTGCTGGCTTTTTAAGGTGACTTTCCATTTACCTATTTGCTGACCTTCACAGTACAGTTCCAAACGAGTCTGACAGCACTGATAGCTTGTCCTGGGTCCGGTCAGGGCGAAGCCCAGCCTTGCATTTCACCATCCACACCATCCCCGCAGGTCTATGGGCAATTGTTCTGGGGGACAGACACGTGGCGCTTCCAGACATGCAGAATTGCACACCTGCCTGGACGTTCACAGCCAACCTGCTTCCTTGTGGTGCTTAAAATGTCCACAGAGATGCTCCTGCTGCACCACCGGTGCTCAGCCAGTGGCGGCCAAGTTTTCCTTTCCACCCATTCAGTCAGTCAGGTTCTTCCCCAGCCCTTTTCTGCCCAGCTCCCGCCTCCCCCTTTGTTGCCAGATTCGCCTCCAACTTCAGGCAAGCAGAGGCCTCCTGCGCAACTGGAGGGGCAGTGCTCCGGCTGCTGGAGCGCGCATGCCACGGAACGCCGGGTTTTGCTGTTCAAAGTTGTTAATGCCATTATCTCTCCCAGAGGCAGAGCAGCTCATGTCAGAGCGTCGCAAAGCTTTTTCTTGGCTCCACATCTTCAAGGCTTGTTTTCGATTCCCCACCGACTTCCTCTAACTGAAGCATCAGAACCCAGGCAGAAATCATGTAACTGCACTGCCTTGTTGCAGAGATGTTGGAAGGATCTCGTGTCTTCCTTCCTCCCCTCCCCTCCCCTCCTCTCCCCTCCCCTCCCTCTCCCATGGAACAGTAGAGAGGGACCTAAACCAGGCACTCTCTGATTAACAAGCAACTCAAAATAATTAATGGATGAATGAAACACGCAAATGCAGCCAGGAACAGATGGATCCCCTGATTCATTAGCAGAAAGCAAGCTCCCTTCCAGTGTCAGGAGCACTTGTCCGCTGCTGCATCGAAACACGGCTGGATCCTTTGCAGCTCTCCAGATACTTCATTAGATTTTATTGATTTGCATTCCAGTCTTACTTCCTCCAGAAGAACTCAGGGAGCAGGGCTTGGGAATCTTCTCCTTTTATCTCTGAAACACCTCTGGGAGGAAGATTAGATGCAGAAAGCAGGAGTGGCACAAGGTCATCCAGGCTGCTTGACAGCCGAGGGGGCTTTGAACCCCCGTCCGCCCACTGCTGCACCTCTCAAAAGGAACGACCGCCTTCGGTACACCGGACAGGCGCTTCAGCCTGCATTCTGCCCTTGTGTGTGTGCTCAGTCGCAAAGTTGTGCCCGAGCCCATGGGCCACAGCAAGCCAGCCTCTCCTGTCCTCCGCCACCCCCCAGAGTCCACCCAACCCTACACCCACCGCCCCACGCGGCCACCTCATCCTCTGCCACCCCCTTCTCCTTTTGCCTTCAATCGTTCCCAACATTTGCACCTAAGGTGCCCAAATTCTACCCCATGAAAGAAGGGACTCGGAAGTCTGAGAAATGCAGCTTTGCATGCAGCTTTTTGCCTGCACCCGAGAGAAACAAAGCAAAGGCGACGGCGACTACGGAAGGGGCACAGTAGTCCTCCTTCCTCACTGAAGCCTCACCCCCGGGACAGGGTGTCAGCTTTTCCCTGGCCCTGAGCAGGCTCCTTCCAAGCACGCCTTGCAGCTGCAGGGGCACAGGAAGCATGCAGCACTCTGGCCCCTGCAGCCGAGGGCGACGTGCCTGGCTCTCCTCCTGGCCACCTCTCCCCACTCCAGCTCTCAGAGAAGCCAAGAGGTGCTTCAGGTCCATTTCCCGGGTGGGCTGTCCACCACTCCTCCTGGCCGCGATCAAGAGCCTTGGCCGGGGAGGAAACGGCAGCGCACCTCGTTGCTGGCTCCGGTTTTCAGCACCAGGATGACAAGGGAGCTGGTTCTGGCTCGGGCTTTTTCCATCTCTCTCCATTCTCCATAACTCTCTTTGCAGGAATGGAAAGAGACATCCCAGATCCCCTGCCCCAAAGCAACTATCAAGAAAAAGATTCTGCACACATTTCATCCCACAGTGCCCCAGGGAGTTCAGAGTCACACGTGCGGCTCCTGCTGTGTCCTGATAAACCCCACAGGGCGAGACAGCAGCTGGCCCGGGGCCACTCTGGCTGCTGGCTGGGAACGACTCCTCGAGCCCAGGCCTCGTGGCGCAGGGCTGCACGGGACCCCGGGCTCTGGAGGCCGGCACACCACTTGGGTGCCCGTCAGGTGGCCGAAGGGCCTCAGCCCCTCTCCTCTGGGTTCGTTGCTATGTTTTGCTATATTTATGAAATATTTGGGTGTATTATTTTAGGAAATAGAATGGCAGCTCCTGGGGCCTCTGCAAGCACAGTGGGACGGGATTTTTGACATGAACAGAAATAAGCAAATACATCATGAATGCTCTGGATTTTGCATCTGAGAGCACTGCGAGGGCAGGTCCGGGGGGCAACGGCAAGTGCTGCTCCTCTTCCTGCCCCCTCGCCTCCCCCCACTCACAGGCTGTTCTCTCCCTCTTGCCCATGAAGTATTTATGAGGCAACAACCCTTTTCCATCAGAGCAGCACTCCAGCTCCAACTTGAGCAGATCAATTATTCAGAATAATACAGTCAAAGAGGGCCTTCTCATCTGAGCGCGAAGTCAGAGAGACCTGTGCGCTGTCAGGAGTCCTCTGGCAACAAGAACACTTAATGCCTGGTGAAAGGAGACCACCTGCTCCTTCGGTCCGGCCCGAGAAGGCGGCGGAGGAGGATGAAGCCGCTTGCTCGGGCAAGCCCAAGCCAGGAAGCAGCTGAGGCTCCCTGGCTGGCTTGGGGCGGCCGGGCCCTGCCGCCGCGCCATCCCCGTGTCCCCACGCGGGGCCGAGCCAGCCCAGCCGGGAGGGCCGCTGCTGCCCACCATCCCTCAGCGCACAGCCCAGGCCCAGCCCCATCTCCCTCCGCACCAGACTGGGGCTACCACCGCCTCTCGCACGGCGAACGCTGCGTGTGCCTCGGCCCGCCTGCCGTTCACCAGAAGAGCTCGTTTCCCAGCTCGCCTGCTTATGATACATTAGGACTGGGATTACATCTGTGCCTGATCCAAAATAAACACTCCAGGCACCAATTCAGACATAATAGGCTTTTTGTCAAGGAAGGGCGCGCAACTGGCACCTGGAAGCGAGGTGACAGCTGAAAGCTGGGACTTGTTGCAGAAGATGCTGAAGGGACTCTGTGACAGCCGGGAGGCTGCAAACCAAACGTGGCCGGCCCCGTCTGCGTGGCTGCAGGCACGGGCTGCTGGCGGCTCCGTTGCCAGCTGGAGCCCTGTACGCACGGAAGCGTTCGCTTTGTGCCTGAGAGGTGCTCCGGGTGGGAAGCCCACTCCGAGCGCGGAGTTCAGCACCCTAAGCAGCTTCTCTGAAACTCAGAACAGAAGCAAGAATGAACCAGGAGCCCCACGGGCACAGGAGGAACAAGGAGACCACCCCATCCAAATGATAAGTCCCAAGCAGCAACGGTTGGGGTTCAACCCCCCCCCCCCACCCTCAGCTGTCAAACGACAAATCCCAAAGATGTTCTCAGAGCCTTCTTGGACATGTGGGAGGAATTTGCATTTTAATGTGACCTTAGCCAATTATGCACTTCTGAAACATCATGCAAAATGAAATGAAACTCAAGTATCATTCAGAACTCACACATCTCCAGATTTTGTTATGACAGTCACCAATACACAATGCATACAAATGTACATATGCATAGGAGGGGAGCTCATGTTTTAAAATGCATTGTAAATATAACTGTGTTTACAAAAATGTGCGTATCAGGAAAGAGCCATACAAATTGCACTCACCAGGTGAAATGTGCACAAACATGCTTATGAATTTTAACTCAGGGTTTTGTTTTTTTTTGGGGGGGGGGGTAAAGGTTTCCCACTGATGTTACGTCCAGGCATGCCTGACTCTCGGAGGCGTTGCTCACCTCCGTTTCCTGGCCGAGGGAGCCAGCGTTTGTCCACAGACAGTCTCCGTGGTCATGTGCCCAGCAGGACAAAACACCGAAGTGCACGGAGCGCTGTTACCTGCCCACTGAAGTGGCACCTTTTTACCTACTTGCATTTGCAGGCTTTCGAACTGCAGGGTTGGCAGGAGCTGGGACGGAGCAACGGGAACTCACCCCGTTGTGCAGATTCGAACTGGTGACCTTTCGATCTGCCAGCCCAGCAGCACAGCGGTTTAAACCACTGCGCCACCTGCAGTCCCTTTTTTTTGAGAGGGGGAGCAAAATGAGAATTTCACATTTTGGGTGAAATTGCAGAAATTTGCAAAGTTCAAGCTGAACTGAGCATGTGATTAAAAAGCTGCAAAATGAATGGGAAAAGTGTGCATTCTGGCAAGCATTTTAACATGTGCAATAGATTCAAGAATGAAAATGCAGCATTGAAAGCACACATTTAGGAACTGTACTGTACACTCAGACCGACGGGGCCTCAACGACCTCTCGTGGAAGCCCATTCCATACCCTTGGGTCCTAACTGTCAGGAAGGACTTCCTGGCATCCAAATGGAACCTTGGCTCCCTGAGCTTTGCTCCACTGGAACATGTCCTGCCCTCCTCTGCAGGGGAGAACAGGACTCTACCCACCTCCGTGTGATACCCTCTCACATACTTATATGTCACCCATAGATCCCCTCTGAGTCTCCGCTTCTCCAGGATGAAGAGACCCAGTTCCCTCAGTCTCACCTCATACGGCATCCCCTGCAAACCGGCCACCAACCTTGTGGCCCTACGCTGCACAGACTCTACCCTGGCTATATCCTTTCTGTAATGAGGGGCCCAAAACTGAACACAATCCTCCAGTTGCAGGCGCACCAAAGTTGGATAGAGTGAAACATAGAAACAGAGCGAGTCAGAAGGGACTTCTGGGCCATCTAGACTGACCCCCGGCTGCAGCCAGCTCCACTCATGACATGCCTACCATGTACACTTCCAAGTGGCAATAACACCTCTCTTGATCTAGAAGCCACGCTTCTGGCTATGCATCCAAGGGTGGCGTTTGCCCTCTTGACCACCGCATCACATGGCTGACTCATGTTTAGCCTGCAGTCAACCAGCACCCCAAGGTCCCTTTCACAAGTGCTGCTCTCCAGCCACCTGTCCCCTAACCTGTACTTATGACACCCATTCCTATGCCCCAAGCGCAAAACCTTGCACTTATCCACATTGAACTCCATCCTGTTGTCTCCTGCCCACTTCCATAGTCTGTCCGGATCCTTTTGGATCTGGAGTACCTGCTCCTCAGTTGTGGCCACTGCCCCGGTTTTAGTATCATCTGCAAATTTGATCAACAGGCTGTTTACCCCTTTTTCCATGTCATTTATGAAAAGATTAAACAGGATCGGCCCCAGCACAGAGCCCTGGGGGACCCCGCTTGTCACTGGCTGCCATCCCGACGATTCCCCACTTATGGTTACCTTCTGCTTTTGATCAGTCAACCACGCCCTAATCCATCGGACAGTGCTTTGGTCTATCTCAAAATTCCTCAATTTCTCAATCAGGATATCATGGGGCACTTTGTCAAAGGCCTTGCTGAAATCCAGGTAAACCACATCCACTGCATCCCCTCCATCCAGCCATCTCGAAACCTTGTCATAGAATTCCACAAGGTTTGTCTGGCAGGACCTTTTTGTGGAAACCGTGTTGTGCGGCTGTCAGCCTCCCTTCCCTATCTAGCATCACTAGATCTCTCTCTATTATGAGCCTTTCCATTGTTTTTCCTGCAATGGACGTAAGGCTAACAGGTCTGTAATTCCCCATGTCCCTTCTACTACCCTTTTTGAAAATTGGGACCACTGATGCCACCCTCCAGTCCTCCGGAACTTCACCTGTTCTCCACGAGGCCTCAAAAATGGAGGCCAGAGGGCGTGAGAGAACCCCTGCCAACTCTTGAAGTATCGTGTTTCCCTGAAAATAAGACACTGTCTTTTTTTTTTTTTTTTGGCTCACAAAAACACACTAGGTCTTATTTTCGGGATAGGTCTTATTTTCGGGGAAACACGGTAATCTGCTCGCCATTTTCAGACCAATCAGAGATCCAACTCTTCTCTTTGCAGCAAGCTGTAAGATTCTTGCCGCACGAGTCCTCTACGATTCTTTTCTTGTACTTGACGGAATAGCTCTTTCTTTTTGCACTCATCTTGTCTGGAGGTCAAAATAATATTCTGTTTAAATCTACCGTTAAATATGGTACCTTACCATAATACCATCATACTGTACGGGTAGAAGACTTACAAGACAGGAGTGCGTGGCAAAGTTAAGAAGAGGGTGATCAGGGAAATCGGGGTGCCGTACCTTCCCAAGAGCAATTTGGTAACCCATCGCTGGCCAGAATGAGTGAAGCACCTGTGACAGCAGCCAGCACTACGGAGGAAGCGTCGGCTCATGCGGCTCTGCTCTCTGGGAGCGGAGGGAGCAGAGCTGCATGAGCATGTTGCCTCCACACAGGGCATTAAGTTAAAGTTAAGTTAAAAAATGAAGTTTAAAAAGGCTCTTTATGTTCCCCACTGGCGCTGGGAATGAACACAGCTAGGTCTTATTTTCGGGGTAGGTCTTATATTTTAGCAAGTACCAAAAATAGTACTAGGTCTTATGTTCGGGATAGGTCTTATGTTTGGGGAAACACGTTACTCCTGGGTGTAACCCATCAAGTCCTGGTACCTTTGTAACGTCCAGAGGACTGAGGAGCCCCTCGATTTCAAGGGGGGTGACTCTAATCTGTGGCCCTAAGTCTCCGGCCTCATCTTATCTCCTATGCAGATCTCCCCCATCCTGCTCTGGGGAGAACACAGAGGCAAAATAGTCATTTAGCATCTGTGCCTGTTCCCTCAAATCAGTCACTGGATCCCCTTCCTCATTTAGTGGTCCCACAACCTGT